TCCGAGGTTAGCACTCCAGAAAGTGGGACTTCTGCTACTTCCTGAGGGGAAGCTCTTCTTCAGTTACCTGTCTGCATACAAGATAAGAAAAGGAGACTTCCTGCTGCCCGCAGTGATTGCTCAAAGACTGAACTAGGGAGCAGAAAATAAATGCCATCTGGTCCTTCCTTTCTGCCCTGTGGTCTAAAGCCAGCTGACATTTTTTTTCTTTTCGCTGTTTCTGTCATGGCGAAGACTAAAGGAAGAGAAAGCTAAGTTGAGCTGCACCAGAATTAGAACTGGGGAATTGCTTATTCCAGCAAGAATCAGAAAGGATAACAGGACATTCTGCAAAGTCATCAGGACTGTCTGAGAGGCCAGTTGATTTTGAGGATCGCAGAAGGAAGATGTGGAAGAATTGTGAGCAAACCAATAGCCTCCATGCTGTGTGCTCCGGGAGCAGTGAGTACTGAGTGAGCGAGTCTTAGGCGCAGGAATGTAGGGACCATTGGCAAGCCCAGCAAGTAGTTGGCCTGCTCTTGAGAATGGCCTAAGCTGTCTATGGCCATACCTCCCTGAACGCGCCCGATCTTCTCTGATCTCGGAAGCTAAGCAGGGTTGGGCCTGGTTAGTACTTGGATGGGAGGGAAGATGGCCTAAGCAAATGGAGAAAAACCTTAAGGGTTCATGCTGAAATGTACATGAGCTACTACGCAAAGAGCATAATGGCACTCTTAGAACAGAAGGCATTTTCAGTGGCCCCAGAGATGGTGCTGTGGTTAAGAGTGTATATTGCCCTTGCAGAGGATTTGAGTATGGTTCCCAGCACCAGTGCCTTTTAGATGGTTCACAGCCGCCTGTAACTCCAGCTCCAGGGGAATCTAGGCTCCTGGCTTCTTAAGGGCGCTTGGGCCAGGTTATTGGCGCACATCTTTAGTTTCAGCACTCGGGAGGCAGAGGCAGGTGTATCTCTGTGAGTGTGAGGCCAACCTGGTCCGCAGAGTGAGTTCCAGGTGAGTTGACGCTTCTTAGGGAGCCCCTGTCAAAAATAAACAAATGAAAATAAAGGCTTTTGAAAGCACTGTGGGCATTATCAAAGCCCCCATTGCTGCACAGTGGCTTCTTCTGAGAGAGCAGGCTGGGCAGTCGTTAGCCCAGGTTTGATCCCTAATACCGCATTAACCAAGTAACCAAGTAACCCTAGGACTTGGGAAGTGGAGGGCGAGATACAAGAGACCCTGCCTCAAAAAAAAAAAAAAAAAAAGGCTGGGAAAGCATTCCAAAGGCGATGAGAAAGAATAAGTAGACACCAGGGTGAGAGGGCGGATGCTTGGGAGGAAAAGGGTAGCATTGCAGCATTGGCTGCCAAAATGTGAGTCCTTGGGGTCCCTGGGACCACTCTGAGAGATGTGAGTTCAAAATTGTTGTAGTGATACTGAGATATTACGCACCCTTTTCGTTGTAGTGATTCACATAGCGTTTAAGTGTGCAGTTCAGTGGTGTTCAGCGGGCTTACATTGTTACAAAGCAGATCTCCAGAACTTTGCCATCTCGCAAGTCTGAAGCTCTCTGCCCATCAAATAACAGCTCCCCTTTATTCCTCCTGCCAGCCAGTGGTCCCTAACTATCTCACTTTTGTTTCTGTGACTTTGACTCTTTCACATACCTCGTGCAGTGGAATAAAGAGAGCGTTTATCTTGTTGTGGCCAGCTTATTTCTCTTGGCGTCATGTCCCGCGTAGCTTGTAAGGAGAACCTCCTTTGTCAAAGCTGAATAGTGTTTCTTTGTACGCATAGCCCCCCTCCCCCCCTTACGCCTGCATCCCCTGCTGGGTGTTTGCCTGGCTTCCACTTCCTGACTGGGGTCATTGCTGTTTGCGGTTTTCAGCAGGTTGACGATGACGACGTTTGCTGCCACGATGTAAGAGGACATACAGTTGTGATGGATGTCCTCTTACATCGTGATGCACAAACCAAGACAGCAGTACTAAATTGTGTGTGTAGTTCTTGCATTTCGCTTTGCGATGCAGTTGTCATGGGTGGGGATCTAGTGCACCTGATGGCGTTTTGTTTACTGTGTAATGAGATGAAAAGTAGGCATTCGACACTCCTGCACACCAAAGCTGTCCGAGGGAGAATCCTTGGCGGGTAAGCTGTGAAACACTATTTTTACTGTGAGAAAAACCATAGTTTTCAGATTTAGGTATTTCATAGATATTTTATTTATTTCTAAAGATTCTATCTTAAATCTGGGTGTAGCGGTCTGTGCCTTTAATCTCAGCACTCAGGAGGCAGAGGGGGTAGATGTCTGTGAGTTCTAGAACAACATGGTGTACTTAGTGAATTCTAGGTCAGCCAGAGCTACATATTCTGTAGTGAAACTCTCAAAAAAAGGAGGGCATGTGGGCGGAGAAAGGGCTCAGTGGTTAAGACGGAGGACGCAGGTCTGATCCCAGTAACAAGGTGTCTCACAAAGGCTGGTAACTGCAGTTCCAAGGTATCCAACACCTTCTGGACTCTGTGTGTGCCAGCCCTGCACACGGTATGAATGTGTGCATGTGTGTGTATGTTTGGGTGTGTGTTTGCAAAAACTCAGACACATAAAATAATATATATATCTTCAAAATTAAAAAAAAAATTGGTATACAAAGGTTTAAACCTTAGGCTTTGTACATGCTAGGCAAGCAAGCATTCTACCACTAAGTCACACTTTTAACCTGTAGACCTTCTCATGAAAATGAATGATAAACCTGTTACCTTTAAAGGAAACTAATGTCAGTATTTAAATAGAAAATAGTTGAGCTTCCAAGTGGGAAGTAGAATTTCAAGTTCATCTTTGCAGCTTTGAGTTCGGCACTTCCCAGGGCCTTAAAGATTTTTATGAGAAACACTGGTGCTGATATTAGTGAATTTTTAAACTCTAGAATGAAATATGTCAGCATTAGGAAGGTTTGATAATTAATTGAATCAAGTTTTTCCAGTAATGATGTTACAGAGTCATGCCTTGTTACAAAAAGGTATCCTTTCTGTAGAGCGTGATAAACCAATAGATTTTAATGTAGCAGTGTGGTGGTATTCTATTTGTACTGAAATGTGATTTTGATTGTATGTTAATAAATAAAGTTGCCCGGGGGTCAGAGCTATTAGAGCCATAGCAAAAGCATGGCGGTGGTGGCGCCCGCCTTTAATCCCAGTGCTTGGCAGACAGAGCTAGGTAGATCTCTGTGTGTTCAGGGATACAGCCAGCATTGGAGACATACGCCTTTAAGACCTGGAGGGCTGTACTTACAGGCAGTGACGAGGCAGTCAGGTGTTTGGGTTTACAACCAATGAAAAGGCAGAACAGAAAGACTATGTAAAGACATACACACAGGAAGTAGCTCTCTTTTGGAGAGCTAGGAACACCGCAGGAGGAAGGGTAAGATTTTATTTAGCTCTGAGCTCTGACCTCTTGGCTTTCTCTTTTACATTGGTTCTGTTTCTTATTTAATAAGATGGTTGGTTACATCTACATCTGGCGCCCAATGTGGGGCTCGAACCCACGACCCTGAGATTAAGAGTCTCATGCTCCACCAACTGAGTTAGCCGGGCTAGCAGAATGTAATTTTTTCTTTAGTAGGGCTTTTGTGTTGGTTTAGGTTTTGGTAGTTTTTTTTTGTTTGTTTGTTTTTGTTTTTGTTTTTGTTTTTGTTTTTGTTTTTCCGACAGGGTCTCTTTATGTAGCTTTGGCTGGCCTGGAGCTCACTATGTAGACCAAACTGGCCTCCAGCTTACAGAGATCTGCCTGCCTCTGCCTCTGAGTGTTGAGATTAAAGGTCTGAGCCACAATACCTGGCTTCTTAGTTTTTTGTCAACTTGATACAAGCTAGGTTCTTCTGGGAAGAAGGACACCTCAACAGTGAAAATGCCTCCCTAAGTCTTGATTAATGAGCCATGACAGAGGCTCTCTGAGTGGTACCATCCTTGGGCAGGTAGGTGGTACTGGGTGGCATTAGAAACCAGGCTGAGCAAACCATGAAGAGCAAGCCAGTGAGCAGCATTCATCCATGGCTTCTACATCAGTTCCTGCCTCCAGATTCCTGCCTTGTGTTCCTCCTGCTCTGACTTCTGACAGTGATGGAGTGTGACCTGAAAGTGTAAGATGAAATAAACCCTCCCCAGAGTGCTTTTGGTCATGGTGTTTATCATAGAGTACAAACCTGAACTAAGACAGTTTAGGTTCCAGTTGTAGCAAATCTCTAAGAAACTCTCCTTATTTCAGGTTATAGTATAGAAGCAGAGTGTCTCCAGCATCCTGAAGGTCTGTCAAAACTACTTCTTGGTTTGGGGCCGTAACTCGGTGGTAGAATGCTTGCCTAGCATGTGTGAGGTTCAGTCCTACATCATTCAACCAATGAATAAATAAAAATAAATTTTAAAAAGAAAGAACACCTCTTCCCTTTTGCAGCAGGTGTGGAAGGTTAGACTATCATACACTCAACTAAAGCTGTCTGTAGCACATTGAATACCGAAGCAAATGTGAGAACGTTGATCAAGGCACAAAAGACATTTGCGGAATTATGAACCAAAACTACTTGTTTCAGAAAGTGTAGCATAGATATGTATGTATATATGTATATATAAATATGTTGTGTTAATATGGAAGGAATTTATCATTATCTAAGTGATTAATATTTAAACATTTGCTGGGTCTAGTGGCTCACACCTTTAATCCTAGCACTCAGGAGACTGAGGCAGGTAGATCTTTGTGAGTTCAAGGCCAGCCTGGTCTATGTAATGAGCTCCAGGCTAGCCAAGGGCTACATAGTGAAATCCTGTCTCAAAAAACAAAAACAAACAAACAAACAAAAACCATTTTTCACTTTATTTTGTAAGATACCAAGTGTTCATAGATAGATCCCAAGTACACAAAAGCTTGGGGGCCCAATAGGACGTGAAGACGTTAATGAAGACCTGTGATCAGCCGAAGTGAGTGCTTGTCCTCTTCATAGATCCAGCTCATTTCTATTTTATCCATCTTAGGTATCTGGCTCGGGTAGGAGACCTTGAAGCCACCAATATCGAAGACCCAAATCTGAATTATGGACTTGTGGTGGACTGTGGCAGCAGTGGCTCCCGGATTTTTGTTTACTTCTGGCCAAGACACAATGGGAACCCACATGACTTACTGGACATCAAACAGATGAGAGACCGAAACAGCCAGCCTGTGGTTAAAAAAATCAAGCCAGGTACTCATCGGAGTACAGTTTGTTGCTAATCTCTTACCTACTGTAGGTGTGAGAAAGGGGAGGAGGGGGGCTCCCCTTGTTTTCGTGGGGATCTGGGCAGTGGGAGGAATCTCTCACTTATCTGTCATCCTACAGGTCTTCCAAAAACATAAATGTAGGTCTTTGGACAGAACCTTATGAGTGTTTGTTTTCTGAGTCTTATGTGATCTACACTCTCTCTATACACACACACACACAGACACACAGACACACAGACACACAGACACACACACACACACACACACACACACACACACACATATGTATGTATAAATGTTTGATTTTTCTTAAGGAATCTCCGCAATGGCAGACACTCCAGAACATGCCAGCGATTACCTGCGACCTCTGCTGAGCTTTGCTGCTGCTCACGTGCCCGTGAAGAAGCACAAGGAGACCCCCCTTTACATCCTCTGCACAGCGGGCATGAGGTTGCTCCCTGAGAGGTGAGACTCAGGACTGTAGGGGACTTAGGGAAGCGAGTCCCATGGAGGCAGGTGAGGGGACACCGCACAGAGTTCACAGGTGACGAAGGCCGCTTGCTCAGAAACAGAGTGGAGCCATCACTGTACCCAGTTACTGCACGGCCAGGCAGGCACATCTTCCTGTCCTTTGTTGCTCTGGGATGACAAAGGGGTTCTGAGTTTGGATTGAGGGTGTGGTGGCCGTTGGGAGTGGTGGCAGGGGTGACTGGGTCATGAAGCGAGTGTGGTGAGACTGTGTTTGCACAAAGGCAGTAGAAGACTCACCCGAGGAACAGGAGTCACACTGGGGGGTGGGGAGACTGGGGCAGCAATGTGACCTTCTCTGTAACTCTGCCTGGGTCCCGGGATGGCTGGTGAGTCCCCCCTCTCCCTCTTACACAAACCCTGCTGTGGGATGTTCTGTATGTTAAATGTGTTGCTCTGATTGGTTAGTAAATAAAACACTGATTGGCCAGTAGCCAGGCAGGAAGTATAGGCAGGACTAGCAGAGAGGAGAATTGAGAGAACAAAAAGGCGGAGAGGAGGAGGCGCCAGCCTGCCATCCAGGGAGCATCATGTAGAGGCAGCAGGTAACGCCACGGAACACGTGGCGACATACAGGTTAACAGAAATGGGCTGAGTATAAGAGTAAGAGCTAGACAATGGTAGGCCTGAGCTAATGGCCGAGCAGTTTAAATAATATAAGCATCTGTGTGTTTATTTTATAAGTGGGCTACGGGACTGCCGGGGTTTGGCGGGACCCGGAGAGAAAAACTCGAGCTACAAACCTCAGTCTCTGTTGCTTTGGATAGCTTTCTCAGACCTAACCAGTTCTGTCTTTCTCACCTGAACCCTGAATTCAGCCTGATATCTTTGTTGTTATTTTTTCGAGACAGGGTTTCTCTGTGTGTGGCTCCCTGGCTGTCCTGGAACTCTTTTTGTAGACCAGGCTGGCCTCGAACTCAGAGATTTGCCTGCTTCTGTCTCCTGAGTGCTAGGATCAAAGGTGTGTGCCACCACTTCAAGAGAGATGCTAGGGCTGAATACAGAGCCTAGCTAGGGAGGTGATACAGCTCTAAGACTTCACCCCCAGCTGTCTATATACATTTTTAAAAAAGGTTTGTTTTTATTTCATGTGTATGATGGTTTACCTCCATGTATGTCTTGCACCGCATGCGTGTAGAGCCCACAGATGCTAGAAGAGGGCATTAGGTCCCCTGGAACTAGAGGTTATGGATGGTTGTGAGCCACCATGTGGATACCAAGAACCAAACCTGGGTCCTCTGCAAGAGCAGCCAGTGTTCTTAAACACTGAGCCAACTCTCCAGCCATCCCTAGGTACTTTTAAAGTTTTTTTTTTTTCTTTTTTAAACACTGTGTGTGTGTGTGTGTGTGTGTGTGTGTGTGTGTGTGTGTGTGTGTGTG